GGGCGACTAATGTAAAGTTACTCGTTGTTTAAGGCAAGTCAAGCCATTTTAATTTTTACAGGGAAAAAGTTGTGAAGATATGATCTGTATTACTATATTGTATATTTAACTCTCTTATGGAAATATCTTATATTGAAGAAATTTAAATCCAAATTTGGGAACTCATTTGAGAATGTATATAGTATTTTATAAAATAAAAGATATAGGAAAATGCTTATAGGTTGCAACTATAAAATGTAGAATTAAAGGATGCACCCCAAAAATCGATTGGAAAAGGTTGTTTTAATGTTAAAAAAGTCTCTAATTGATCATCTCGACATTAAGATGTATGAGTGTATGAAAAAACTAAAAAATTTTGAGTGCCAAAAATTGTGCATCTTACAATATATTATCTACATCGTCCATTTTAAGAATTTTCATATGTTTATAGATCTACTTGATTTTAACCATTTTTGGAGTTTAAAGTTTTTAATTAGATATGAAAATAGATTTTCAGATAATCCTAAGAATTTTTTACACCAAAATTACATGTCATGATAAAATTTGGTGGTACGTCTTAATTGGATTGTTTAAGGTTGCAATCTTATAGAAACCACACCCAAGGATATGTGAAATTGGAAATAATAAATTTTAAGGTTCGTATGATGGGGCAGTCCCTGATGGAACATGGGCACAGGGGCACTCGACTACTCAACCTGCGATCTATTTTTCATTGCCAAGGAATAGTTCAATGTTTATGATGAGGGCCGATCCTACGAAGATTTTGGCTCAAGAGTCACTGAGAAACACCTCTCATCAAGTGAAGATATGGGCCTTTGATTCCATGAAAATACCTGAACCCCAGTACGAGATTCCTCGGGGTTTGGGAGAAATTGATCATGCAACACTGCTAAAAATGGCTAATTGTTGCATAAATCTGAACCTTCTTGGGTGTATCATGAAAGTGGAGACTTGAATAGTATGCTACACCCCCTCTTTTACTGTATCCTATCGGCATCCAAATGACGCGAAATTTGTGGTTAAGGATTTCCGGCCATTTGAGTTTATTTTTTGCAAGGTTCTTGGTCCCATCGGAGGTTAAATTCTAAGGGCTTTTTTTGTGTTTTGGCAATCTTTTTAATTATATACTTCTTCTAAAGCATAGAAGAAATATCTTCGCTCTACCATCCATCTGTCCAATTTTAATTAAGTGAGCCACTCACCGTTTGATCTTAGATATGACGTCTCAAAATATTTTATTTTTAGTTTTTTTATATAAATTGTATGAATATGAAATTTGGTACGTGTCATCTTCTCATTGGGGCGCACCTATAAAACAAATTAAAAATAATTTTTCGATAAAATATAATGACCAAAATACCCCTTGAATCTTTCAAGGTTATTTTGGTCATTTTATTTTATTGAAAATATTTTTTTTATATTTTTCGCTAGTGCAAGTTTAATAGAGGATTGGACGTCCAAAATTTGGTGTCAAAATAGTTTATAAGAAAAAATTAAAAATAAAATAATGTAGAGATGTAACATTTTAATTGAGACAATCTTAATACTCCATTCAGAATGGATAGTTGGATAAGGGAAAGTATATAAGTTTTATGCTGTAGGAGAAGCATAAAAAGCTTGCCCGATTATACATAGCCTATGTACAGTGCTTCACAACTTGACATCAGTTTGGAGCAGCGTTAAAAAAATCCATTAGAGATATTCGGACCAGTTCACTCAAATAGTGTGCTGGGTGCTGGATAAGGGGTATGGGCCTCTTCAAGAGGTCGAAGTATAAGAAACGCCTATTGTTAATAAAAAATTTGGGATCACACTTGGCAGGATTCCAATTCCAGCCAAAAAGCCCATTTAATCTCATATGACTATAAAAGGGAATATATAAAATATATGGGTGCAGTTGGCATACGGATGCATCCGTAGCTATAGAGGTAAGGTGCACCTTCAAATTTTATCATGACATATAATTTTTATGTAAAATGTTTTTAGGATTATCTCAAAATCTATTTTTATATTTAATTATAAAATTTTAAATTTCAAAAATGGTTGAAATCAAGTAGATCTATAAATATATAAATATATATGTAAAATCTCGATGTTGAGATGATCAATCAAAGGGTTTGTCAGCATTAAAACTACCTTTTCCGATGGATTTTTGAAGTGCATCCATAATTCTACATTATAAGGTTGCATCCTTATATAAACTTTTTCCAAAATATATATAGGCCGAGACCGAGTAACTGGAACGAGTCTCCTCGACCGATTATAAAAACAGTGTTTTGGGGTAATATTTTGGGGGAATATTGAGGTACCATGGATTAAATTAGGCTCAATTATGGGCCCATTTGCGTCCATTTTTACTTATTTTCTCCATGGCCTTTTATTAGCTACTTCACGCTGTTTGGGCCACGTTCGACTTCAGGGCCCTGAATTTGGGCCCAAAATACATCTGTTTAGGAGCCCGACTGCCTTCTCTTATATTTTCGTTGTTTTCCCAGCTTATCTAGTGCCATTTTCCGATCCGAATTAATGTATGGGTGCGATTTGTATAGAACCGAGGCTCTAAACAATCAAATTAGAGCCTACCTTCAAGTAGTGTCGAGAAATGTGGTTTCAATATTGGGAATATTTGTGATAGCTTTAAAATATATTTTCATCTTTAATTATAAATTTAAAATTTCAAAAATAGTATAGATCGAGCAAATCTATGAAAACTTGAAAATCTCGAAAATTGATGGTTTAAAAATGCATTATTTCTAAAAGAAAATTGTTTCATGTCGGCTTGGACCGCATTCCTACATATACGGTCCAAAAGTGTAAAGCATCCATCTTAAAGATTGATGCAAGTAGGTGTTCCATCTAAACACAATGGAAGTTCACGGCCCAAATGTTTTTTTTACTAGAATTATTATTTCTAGTTTTAAAAATTTATTTATTTATTCATATTCATAATCACCATGTTAGATATTACATGTCCTTAAAACTTAAGTCTTAAAATCCATTTCAAAAATAGATTTATTAAGAGGCCTGCATTTCTACATATGCCAGATTGGCTGTCTAGAAACCGGTTCTATTTCTAAAACTTGAAATCCATTTTTTTCTCATGTCCATACATCTTGATATCAAGATGATCAATTTGAGGATATCTAGGTATCAAAACAACCTCTTCTAATGAAATTTCTGAGGTAGGCTCTAATTTGATTGCTTAGAGCCTATGCTCTATATAAACATTTTCCTTAATTTTAGGGCGCCATGAGGCCTGGATACCTACCCTCGGTTTCAAATGGGACTTTCTACCTCGTCAACTAGGTTTGA